AAAAAAAAAAAAAAAAAAGTCCAGTAAAGCGTTTGTATGACGCATTATTATCTGTTATATTTTTCCTTTTGGTTGTATTTTTTATTTGATGTATTAGAAGAAAGTGTAATAAAACCAAAAATAAACACATGAAAAAACGACATGAAGTTATTTTTTTATGTTAAAGCTAAATGAATGCCTTGTTCGTTTTTCCTTTAATCATCCGAAGGACTTGGTGGCCAATAAAAAGAAACAGCATAAAATTACTTTTTTTTTTTTTACAATTAACAACAACAACAAAAAGCCATAATATAATTTTCATGTTTCATTGACAAAACAAATAAATAAAGAAGGAGCCGTTTCTGCGCATGGATGTTCTTCCGCTATCTTTGGCCAATGCTGACGCTAAAACGAGGATTGTGGGAAAACCAGATCTCATTAATATTCATGATCTCATTACCATAGCTATTCTTACCTGTAAAAATGGCATTTCTACATATCTGTAAAAGTATTTTTACTAGTTAAAATGTTATTTAAGATATCAGTAATTAAATTTTCACTAGTTGCAAGGGAAATTTCAGATATCAACTGCCTTTGTTGATATCAATAATTACTTTGTTACTAGTAAAAATGTGAATACTAGAATTGTATTTCTGATATGTGAAATTGGAATTTCAACTAGTAAGAAATCAATTCTTGATATCAACAATTAAATTTGAATGGCAGCCTATGGTGACATTTAACCAGTGAAAATACAATTACAGATATCAAGAATTATAATTTTTACTAGTTGAAATTTAATTCCTGATATCAATAATTAGCATTTTAACTAGCGAAAATTGAATTGTTGATATCAAGAATTCACATATTTACTAGTGAAAATGTAATTGTTGATATCAAAAATTATAATTGTTACTAGTAGTATCACGGCGCGGTACAGAAAACACACCGTGTAAACAAGGGGTCTGGGTCCAAATGCAGGTTTATTTGACTGCAGGGGAAAACAAAGTAAAAATCACACTTAATAATCCGCCCAGAGAGGCGTGGGGAAGGCGTATAAATAGCCCTCAGGATGGGCAACAGCTGTGTGTGTGTGAGTGTGTGCACAGGTGTGTGGCGTCAAGGTAACGGAGTCCGGGAGGATGGGAAGTGGCGACTTCTGGTGGTGAGAGGGAGAACACCAGACCCAGACCCCTGACAGGACCCCTCCTCTAAGGAACGGCTTCCAGACGTTCCCGAGCGCCCACCCCAGGGAACGGCAGAGCGGGGATGGAGTAGGGGGAGGGATGGGGGGCCCAGGTCCGTGTGGTAGCGGGGGACCTGAGGACTGGGGCAGAGCCGGTGGGATGGGCACCCAGGACAGAACCAGCGGCCACCACAGCGGTGTGTGTGGAGCTGCCACCTTGAAAAAAACGGAGGCGAGTTCCACTGCCTCGGGGGAACTGCGAGCGGACACCGCTGCCTCGGGGGAACTGCGAGCGGACACCGCTGCCTCGGGGAAACTGAGAGCGGACACCACCGCTTCCGGAGCTTTGTGAGCGGACACCGCTGCCTCGGGGGAACTGAGAGCGGACACCGCTGCCTCGGTGGGAACTGAGAGTAGCCACCGCCGCTTCC